GAAGAGAGACTATGATGATGTAGTCTGGATTGAATTAAGCACTTTACCTGCATTATCTCATTTAATTCCCACAACAACCCTATGAAGTAGGTACTATTATTGCCTTCATTTAACAGATGCAAAAATTGAAGCACAGAAAGGTTCAACAATTTGCACAAGGCTACATCATAGTTACTGAGTGCTGGATCTTTCAGAGCCTTCAAATGTCCCTTTAGAGGAGGAAACTGAAGCTGAGGGAGGTGAAGTCATTTGTCCAAGAAGTCATATCTAGTAAGTGCTGGGATTGTAGTTCAAACCCAGGCTCTTTCTGGTGGCAAAGTCACCATACTATTTTAATCACTACACTGTCATGAATGGAAACTATTAAAATAGGGAATATATGTATATTTTTCTAGATCTAGCTCTACAAGGCAAAACGTTTCCTGAATTTGGATGATGATAAGATTTTGCCCTTATTCTAGGGAAGTGATAGTGAGAGCATGTACTTCTTTGATAATGCACCACACAGTATAATGCAACCAGGGTATTTGTAGAAAGCCTCACAGTGAAAGCAGACACTGAGAAAAACAGAGCTACTAAACAGGGTGACAATAGCTGAGTTCTCATGTGACTTCTTCAGTCGGCTTCATAACATCAGATTTACTTTGTTGTTCTTCCATGAAGAGAATGCTCTGTGAGGGAGAAAGCCCCCAGCTCATTGCCCTCCTCTCTGAGATTGGCTAACAAGCTATTCTGATGCCACTGGCCTAAGTTTGTAGGATGTAAACATGATCTTAGTTATGAAGCGTGATGTGGCAAAGAGTGCGAGGCTGGAGAGAACAGCTCAGTCAGCTCCCTTCAGAGATGACTGGCTCTCCAGTGGAACAACACATGGAGCAAGTGGAGGTCAATGGTTGTGATGCCCACATCCCCACTACTGTACTCACTTGGCACTGCCAGGGTTTTTATTTGGTGATGAGTTTTTGAGATATAGCTTGATATTAGTCTTCATATTTGGAGTATTATTAATGTTTAATGAGAACATTATCATTCCTAATTCAATGAGGCAATTTACAAGACTTTGTTGTCTTTATAATTTTGGTTCTGTTACACCAAAAGACCAGTGTGTGTGTGTGTGTGTGTGTGTGTGTGTGTGTGTGTGTGTGTGTGTGTGTGTGTGTGAACTCTATGTGATTTTTTAAGATCTCTTCCAGGTCTATTTTTTGTTATCAATAAGTTAACAGAAAGAGAATGAACAGAAATGTGGTATATAATAAGGCTGGGTGTAGTGGTTCATACCTGTAATTCCAGCACTTTGGGAGGCTTGATGCTAGGAATTTGAAAAGTGCAATATATAATAAATCAAGTGGGGAGTCATGCTGTAATTCTACGTGTACATACTGAATGTTGCCAGATACCAGGAGTTGTGTGGGCTAAAATGTTAAATATGATGCAATCCTTGCCCTCAAAGAACTTACTCTACATTTCTTCCCTTGAGCAAATGATATTAGTACCTGGCTTCCTAATCCCTAGATGGTTCCTGTGCTTGGTTGATTTGTTTTTCATTAGCAGAACAGCCTAGGAAGACCTTTAATCTTAATGTAGAAAAACCAAATCTAAGATTTGGATAGCCAGAAATGATGAGATGATAATAACCACAGCATTGATAATAATAAATTAAGAGTGGAAAGAGGCTAGTGGAGATGCATAGAAAGATTCTCAGGAGGTGATATGTTCTGGACAAAGTTGAGATATTTGCATGACTCATTGAAAAGAGAAAATAACTTCAAGAATCAACCTAAAATTTCAACTAGAAGAGTGCCCATTTTTTGGTGAAAGGTAGGGAAAAATGCTTACAGTAGAAAGTCAGAGGAATACATTGTATTCATTACCTTTCTTTCACATAGAAAGCTCTTTTTGCTTTGCTTGTAACTTCTGGGAGAGCAAGAGGTGCTGGTAGTGGATTGAGGGAAAAGAAGATGATAGACCACTGGTTTTCCTAGAGCACAGCAAACTGAAGGAAAGATGGAGGCTCTGATAGACTTAACAACTAAATATATAAAGCCCTTTCTCTGGAAAAAATATATGCATAAAATATTTATCTGGCATTAAATATTAACAATGAATTAATGAAAACACCCCAAACACTTTATTATGTCGGAAGATTTTTTTTCCTTTTTTTAAAAAATGCTATTTTAAATCTCAAAATCACTTTAAATGTGATCCAGGCAGAAAGTAGCGTGGTCTCTGGAGGAGTGAGTACTACAAGAATGACGATAAGTGGAAATGACCTCCAAGTGAGCCTTTTATATTACCTTCTACCAATTTACTAATGTAAGAAGGGTTCATGTTCAAGAATTCCATGACTGGATGGATTGCTAGGTGTCAGATGCTCCTAGTGAAACCTAGCATTTCCCTGACTGCTGTACATAAGTGGGAAGGGTGAGGAAAATGAAAACCATTTGCACCTGATTCTGACATCATGCATCTCCCTGCTTGGGAGCTCCAATGGGGAGGGATAGTACCTTCCACCTGGCATTGCCTCTAAGTAGCTTTGTGAGTTCCTTTGGGCTATTATGTTGGTTGGTACTTTAGCTTCTTTGGCTCCCATCACCAGCTGATGCCCTGATCTGAGTCCCAGTTGGGCAGGCTCTATCGCTCAGTACTGTAGCTGTCTCCAGGGCATTGTTCTTGAGACTTCCAACAGGGCAGATTTGTGTAGTTGGCCCATCTGGACAAGATCTATAACAAGTAGTGCTCTGTGCAATAAGCTCATCTCCATAGTCCACCCCCCGCTACCCCCGCCTTCGGGCTGCAGCAGCCTGACACCCCAGCTTCTCCATGGAGAGTATCAAAGAGACACTCTCTGCTCCTTTCAAAGGGGTATTGCTTGTGGCCTCTCATTGATTGGCACTACCTGGGCAGAAATGTGAAAACAGGGGCTCCCTGCCCTCCTCACTTCAATCTCCTCCCTTAAACCAGTTCTTTAGTTTTAAATCTCACTGAGTGAGTGATAATATTGCCAATAAAAATAATTTCTGGACCAGCTACCCTGGGCAGCCCAGAATGCTCTCCTCAAAACCAAGAGACAGACAAGAGGAGTATCTCAGTGAACAGGAAAGTACAGATAAGCTCAGTAGGAAAAGGGAGAGAGAAAGCTGAGCTCTTGGTTTGATTATAAGATTTGCTTTGAAGTCGGACTCGGTGGCTCAGCCTGTAATCCCGCACTTTTGGGAGGCTGGGGTGAGTGGATTGCCTGAGCCCGCGGGTTCGAGACCCGCCTGGGCAGCGAGACCTCATCTCTACAATAAATCAAAAAAGCAGCCGGGCGTGGTAGCGCACGCCTGTAGTTCCGGCTACTCGGAAGGCTGAGGCGGAAGGATTGCCGGAGCCCAGCAGGCGAGGCTGCGGAGGCCGGGAGCGGCTGCTGCACTCCAGTCTGGGCGACAGAGTGAGACTCCAACTCAAAAAAAAAATTTGCTTTGATAATTGGATTTATTGACTTTCCATTTGGAACACCATGTGGAGGGAGGGAGGAAGAGAGATTTGACTTACACAGTTAATTGTTCTAGGTCCAGTGAAAAGGACCAGATGTCTAACAGATCATTTGATCACCTGTGTCTTATAGCTGTTAACCCCACACTTTAATCTCTCCTGTTTAAGTTCCTCACAGTTGGTTGCTTCAAGGGACTTAGTATGCCAGGCACATGCTTCCCCACGTCTCAGTAGTATGTCAGGCTTGAAGTGGGCTCTTCCACACCAAACCTCTCTATTGACATTTCTGGTAACTTCAAGTGACTGCTACACCTCCCCACTGCTCCTCATTGTGAAGCAAGAAGGGTGAAGAAACAGCTTTGACTTATGACTCTCTAACTTCTACAGATGCTACCCTGAGGTTGATAAGTCAATGTTTGTCCAGGATAGGGTCCTCTATATGCCTAGTTCCTCCCCAAGAACCTCAAAGCCTGCTCTATCCTGAACAAGGTTGCATGGCACCACCATTTACTCACCAAAAGTAAGTGAAGGAGCAAGTTGGAAATGAGGAGTTCTGAAAAATAGAGACTTCAGAAAAAAAAGGAAAGGAAACAAATGAAAGCCCACCTGACAAAAGACTCTCTGAGGATATTTACTGTATTCTACTCCTCCTGGGTCCTACTACTTTGGATCTCACTTTTCTTGAAAGTTTTCTAGCATCATCAAGTACTTTTCTTAAACAATAAGCATTTCTCCATTTTTATACTTCCCAGAAGTCCAACAGACCCTGCCACCATGCTGGTTAGTTAGGGAATAGAGCAAATATTTTGGAAACCAGGAAGTTCAGGTAGATTTGGAAGGCTGGTGTTTCTGAGAGTCCACGGTTTCTGCCCCAGTTCTGACAGTATGGGGCTTCCCAGGAGATTTGAACACCTCTCTGTTAGGTCATATAATAATGTCCCAGCCAGTGCAGCCTATGACTGCTTATAACCTTGTCAAAACTGGGGGATCCTGTGACTTCACCTTCCTCTCATCACCAGGGAACCTGACTGGGTCACACAGAGCAGCACTTGTGGATAGAAAAGACTCCCTTTTTGAGCCTGCAGCAGGAGGGACAGAGGGAAGAGTAATGACCAGGCTCTGGGTAGGAGGTAGCAGGGTGAGGATTGCTGAAGATTAAGATGACAAATGCCAGAATCTAATAGCAGTAATCTGAATATTCTCCACTGGAATATTGGAAAACAGAGAGGCTTCAGCAAGAACAGAAGGTCACCATGACCTCAGAAACATGGCCAAACCTTAGTCTCACGAGAAATGGGAAAGTATGAAGAAAATCTGGACTAAGGTAGGTAAGCCATCTTTATAAGTACAGCCACCATTGGCACCATGCAGTATAGGCCCACATAGCTTTGGGACTAGTAGTTGAAGTTCTGAGTGGGAGATCAAGAAGGGACTGTTCAAGACCCTGATAGAGTCTAATGAAGGAGAAAAGCCCACCCAGGAGAAAGCAGGAAGGTAGCAGTGGGACTCTATTGCCCCCACACTATTCACAGTGCCTGGTGGATATCTTCTGACCGGAGCACTTTGTAGACAACCCAGTAGAAGATATTGAAGATGAGGAAAGTGAAAGGGAAGACAGCCCGGGAAATGGTGTCAATTCTCTTGGCTCGGTCCACGTAGAGTTTCCGCATGGTTTCTCCCTCCCTTAGAAGAGGAGTTGGAGGTTGGGGACTATAAATGCCAGAACCTTCCATTGGACCTCCATCCCTTGCCTGCAGACAGTGGCCCAAGCCATAGCCACGGAAATAGAAGCGACTTTCTCGGATGATATCTTCCTCCTGAAATTACAAGGAAGTAAAGGCAGAATTTGAGGTCAAAGCTTTAGGAAAGGGGGCTAGAAGACCAGGTCACACATCATTATCTCATAAATGATGCTATACAGACAAGGTGGTCCACTGCATACTTTTTATGGCCACAAAACTACTCATGAAGTAGATGTATGCTATATGCTATGATTCTAATTGCAGATAGGCCCCAAGTTGTCTTTGTGAAATTCATAACATCACTTAGAACCATCTAAAACCCAGTGAAGTGCCAGTCACTGTGACAGGGTCATCTTCATGTTAAGTTATCTCTGACTGGTAATAAACAGAACGACAAAATTATTAGACAGTGAAGTCGAGATATTCAGACTTAGTAAACTTGAATTTAATGTCATTCAAAAACTTTAAAATTAGTTCTCCTTGTATATAGTATCTTTTGAAAACTATCTTGACTTAAAGCTGAAAATTACAAAAGTCTTAAATAACCTAATGGGTTATCCAAATTAGGGTAACGCTGATCACACTATTGCAGATATGTGTCCTTCTTTACAAATCAGCAGAGTTGACATAGGGGTCAGTACATTCAAGGGTAACATTTATTACCCAATGCACATTCCATTCATGTGCAGTACACAAAATATGATTAACATTCACACAGAAGAGGTACATTTCTTTTTTTATTGAAGAGGTACATTTCATATAAGCACTAAGCAATGTGGTAGACTGCATAAAATCCATTTATCCAATGGTCAGCTGACAACTATAAGTAGCTATAACACAGCTAGGAGCCAGGAAGTAAAGACAGAAAGAGATAGAGATGGAGATGAAGATGGAGATGGAGATAGAGATTGGGATATTTATCTATATTTATCTATCTCTCTCTATATCTCTCTCTACAATATATATAGAGAGAGAACTAAAGTCCCTGAGTGATCAACAGAGAGAACTTTACTTATATGAGGCCCTCAGGCCCTCACTCATAGCCTATTTACACTTATTTCATATATAACCCAAACAAGCCTAATTTTATTTGCTTCTAAAGGGCAGAGTTGAGAAATACTTTCTTCAAAGATGGTTATAATTGTTAAGAGTACTGATGGTTTTGGAATAAGAGCTTCATTTATTTAAGAAATCACCTGAAGTACAATGGGCCCTTGTAGGATAATGCCAATGACCATCTCGGTTTGCCCAGGACTGAGAGGGTTCCTGGTACTTGGGTCTTTCAGTGCTAAATCTGGGGAAGTCCAAGGGAAATAAAAAATAATTGGTCACCCTACAGATGTCTGAAGTATCTACTGTAAATTATAGGGAAAAAGATGTGTGCATTGTATGGGTATGTCATAAGTATACACAAAATGTGGATAAAGTAGATTTTAAACACTGTGCATCTAGAGGGCCATCACAGGGTCCTTAACATTGGACCTCTGCAGTTATGGTAACACATCAAAAAGTGGCTTCATAGATGAGATGTTGGTGTGGTAGGGCCTAGTAACTCTAGAAGCTGACCTGTCATCATAAGCGAAGGCCTTGACTCACCTCAAATGTAGTCTCAAATTTCATTTTTTTTTTTTTAGTTGGAGTCTCACTCCGTCACCCAGACTGGAGTGCAGTGGCCGGGGCGGCCAATGCAGCCTTGACCTGCCGGGCTCTGGCGATCCTTCTGCCTCAGCCTTCCAAGTAGCTGGAACTACAGGTGCGTGCTATCACGCCCGGCTAATTTTTTGATTTATTGTAGAGATGAGGTCTCGCCAAGTTGCCCAGGTGGGTCTCAAACCCGTGGGCTCAGGAAATCCACTCATCTCAGCCTCCCAAAGCGCGGGATTACAGACTGAGCCACTGAGCCCGGCTTCTAATTTCATTTTTACACTATTCCAATGGGGAGGTTGGCTGGTCGATTTTAGAGATGAAGAGTCAGAGGCAAACAAAATATCTCACAAGGAATTGAAAAATAAAGGGGGTAAGTAAAATGATTTTCTCCTTGACTTTCCAGTTCAGGGTCCCTCGGACCACCCTGTTTCCCATTGCTCACCCTAATACCCTCAGCTCCCCAGCTACAGGATGCAAGCACAGAATGTTGGCAAAAAAGAAAAATAAAACTCTGAAGGATAAAGTTGTATCCAACTGCTATTTCTGTTTCTATAGATCCAATTATTTTCCCTTTTCTCCAATCACAGTAAATCTAAAGGGAATTATTTGGAAATATTTTCCAGGCTGCAAAAAGTCATTTCACATGGGAGAGAAAATATGACCAATAGAGTAAGCTACTCTCAGAAGTTTTTTATTTTAACACATTGTACCTCTTGCAGTTGGAGTAGCAAAGATGAATGGCCTGAAATCCAGGGGTCAGGGGGTCCTGGATTTTAGTATTATCTATTTAGGCCAAATTCTGAGGGGCATGGTGGGGGGAGCTGGGGAAGGACAATGAAAACTTAAATACCAATTTGTGGCTCCCATGGCTGCTGAAACGGAACTTTTTTGTTGCAGCTATCTCTAAAGGAGGAGGGCTGAGGAGCTAGAGAAGGAAGATATTCTAAAACCAAACCGGGTAGGGAATGCACAATGTAGAAGGTAAGGTGTGGAGGTGGGAAATACTGATGTGTGAGAGTGGCTAGAGAAAAAGAGATTGAAGAATGGGGAATGGGAGAGGGTGCTGGAGGATGTCAGGGTTTTGGGACCAAGTCTCTGAGAGGACTGGAAAGTATTCTGAAATTTTTTCCAGTTGAGTTATTCTGTCACTCATGGCAAGGCTCTCACTCTGTTCAGTTTGAGAAAGAACTTCCACCAATCAACCTGCAAAAGCTAGTGAGCTGGGTTACATACATGGCTACTGTGGCCTGAGCCTGCTGGGGCGGTGAACAAAAGCATCCCCCTTTCCTGGGAAATGTATAGACTAGCTGGGAAGACAAAGCAGGAGTGCATAGGAAAAAATTAACTACTTCATACAGTGGCATGGAAGGAGATCATCACGTCGTGATGACAGGTGACTGAGGAGAGATTAGAAAAGAAAAGGATTACGCTTGCAGTTGGGTGAACAGCTGACTGGCTCCTAGAACACTCCTAATTTACTCCTCTGAGTCTGCAGACGTCTGTTTCTCTAGCTGGAAAGCAGAGCCCAGATAGAGGTTCTAGGAATGGATTAACTCTCCATCAACCTTTTCAGCCCACTTGCTTGGTGCCTCCAGGGTTCCTGCTACAGTTTGACTGGAATGGCAATGGCTTTAGAAAATTCAAAAAGGGCTTGGCAGGGTGGCTCACACCTGTAATTCCAGCACTTTGGGTAGGCCAAGGCAAGAGGATTGCCTGAACCCAGGGTTTGAGAACAGCCTGGGCAACTTGGTGAGATCACATCTCTACAATTAATCAAAAAAATTAGCTAGGTGTGGTGGTACACACCTGTAGTTCCAGCTACTTGGAAGACTGAGGTAGAAGGATCATCTGAGTCCAGCAGGTAAAGGCTGCAGTGGCTGCGAGTGTGCCACTGCACTCCAGCCTAGGCAACAATGAGACTCTGACTCAAAAAAAAAAAAAAATTGGAAAGGGACATGATTAATGGAACAGGTTTGATTTTCAGGTTTTATTGGCATTAATAAACCTTAGCCCACTTTCAGGCAGAGTCCAGGGTACTAACCAGGGCCCAGGCTGTGATTATAACTGTGTAATAATTGAGTACTGGTTATGACAGAGTTTATTATGAAGTCAGGATCAACCTGTATATGAACAGGAGGGGACAAGTTGTAGGCAGTGGGGGTTGGGTGAGTGCAGAGTAAAGGTGGGACCAGTGTCAACCTAGAATAGTTCTACAGTAACTACGGCAACACTTTGTTGCTGGGATATTCACACAGGCAATTTAGCTGGTCAAAGGACTCTGAACCTGTTGGCAGCCTGCTCTTCTTTTTCAAGGTAGGCATTGAGAAAGCCTTAAGTTTGAAGCCCCTATAAAGATAAGATTTTGGTACCCAAAGTCAGGTTTGACACAGCTAAAGAGGGTGTGGGGACAGTTAGCTTAGAAAAGGGAGCATTCTCTTTTCTTGCCTTTCTTCCAGGTCTCTCTATTTTTTTCTAATTCGTGGTATGGACTAGGAATAGCTTTTAGGTCTCTTGAATAATGTCCTAATCTAGGAGATGCAGTTGTGAATCTATCCACTAGAGGGAGAACTGCCCAGGGCCCAACTAAAGGACTAAAGCTAGGCAAGAATTCAAACCACCAGATGAGAAACGAGCCCTGTTCTCAGCTGAAAGGGACGTTAGCAAAGGACTTGAAACCGAGGAGGTCGTTTGTGAGATATTTTTAGTGCAGCATATATGGTAGGGGTGCCCCAGGAGCAGCTGAGGTGGAAGGTGGGAGGGTAGAAAGAGGGAAGAGTCCCTTGTATTAGTGTGGACCAGACAGGTCAGAGCCAGGATTTTAACAGTGGATTCAGATCATTGTTTCCTATACCCTCACAGAGGTCATTATCCTCCTGCCCCTTTGGCTTTAGAGTCTCCAGATTAGGCAGAAAACATGGAGTCAGAGCTCAAGACAGACCAGACCTCTGTGTCTCTGCTGATTAAGCAGTTAATATGTAGTTCAGCAAAGGCTTTCGCTTTGCTCATAATTGGACACTAGCTTCTGTGAGGGTGGCTCAGGCACCTCTGTTGTCATGACAACTGATCTAGCACCTATTTTCTGGGCAATTGGGGGTAAACTACCTCTGTTGTCATGACGACAAGATTCCACTTATATTTCACCAGGTGATCACTCTACTGTAGAAGAAATGGGGTTAACAAACAAGAGTGGGAGAGAACAACTCGAGCCCAACAACTCTGACGCGCCCAATGAAGATCAAGGAGAAGAAATCCAACAGCCAGAAGAGGCACGTAGTGGTTTCTCAATTCCAACGTAGTTATGGGAACCCTCCCATAATACTCCCCTAGAAAAGGCACCAGTGCCTGGCTCTTGAATTCTTCTTCTTTTTTTTTTTTTTTTTTTTTTG